TGCGGATGATTATGCTGCGGATGATGATGATGGGGACGAAGACTTTGACGACTATGATTTTCATGATGTGGTCATGATGAAGACGATGCTGCTGCTGATGATGCTGATGATGACCATGATGCTGATTCTGATGATGATGATGGTGATGATAATGACGATGCTGATGATGATGATTATGCTGAGAATGACACTGATGGTGATGATGCTGATGATGATGACGAAGCTGCAGCTGCTGCGTCTGCTGATGATGATGCTGATGATGAAGATGATGCTGCTGCTGCGGATGATGACGATGCTGAGGATGATTATGATGATGATGGTGTTGCTGCTGATGATGATGAAGACGATGCTGCTGCTGATGATGCTGCTGCTGATGCTGATGATGATGCTGATTATGATGATGATGTTGATGATGATGCTGCTGGCGATGATGACGATGATGATGATGCTGATGATGATTATGACGATGCTGGTCATGCTGATGATGATGTTGATGATGCTGCTGATGATGGTGATGATGATGATGGTGGTGATGCTGATGATAATGCTGATGATGCTGATTCTGATGATGATGATGACGATGATGATAATGATGATGATGATGATGATGATGATGATGATGATGATGATGATGATGATGATGATGCTGATGGTGATGATGATGATGATGATGATGACGACGATGCTGATGGTGATGATGATGCTGATGCTGATGCTGCTGATGATGATGAGGAGAAGGAGGAGGAGAAGGAGGAGGAGGAGGAGGATCAGGAGGATGAGGTTCAGGAGCACAAGCACGAGACAGGTACTGCGTAGCAGAGTGATCAGGTGCAGGAACACGCTGGGGAGATGGTATGGGGAGGAGGCGGATGAGAGGGAGGAGGAAGACAAGCAGGAGGAGGAATGATACGATGAATTGGAGGAGGGGCAGGAGGATAAGGATTCGCAAACCGATGATGATGCTGATGATGATGATGATGGTGATGATGATGATGATGATGGCGATGCCGACAATGATGATGCTGCTGATGATGATGATGATGATGCTGACGATGCTGATGATGCTGATGATAATGACGCTGATGATGATGGTGATGATGTTGACGATGCTGATGATGATGCTGATGACGATGCTGGTGATGCTCACGCTCATGATGATGCTGATTCTGATGATGATGTTGATGATGATGTTGATGATGATGGTGATTGTGATGGTGGTGATGAGGATGGTAACGATGACGATGATGATACATATGATGATGCTGCTGCTGATGATGATGATGCTGGTGATGCTGATGATGCTAATGATGATGATGCTGATGATGATGATGGTGCTGATGATGATGGTGATCATGATGATGCTGCTGATGATGATGATGACCATGATGCTGCTGATGATGATACTGCTGATTACGATGATTGCGCTTCTGCTGATGATGATGATGCTTACGATGCGTGTGATGCTGCTGATGATGATGATGATGATGATGATGGTGGTGGTGGTGGTGGTGGTGGCGAGGATGATGATGATGCTGATGATGATGCTGATTGTGCTCATGCTGATGCTGACGCTGATGATGATTATGATGCTGATTATGACGATGGTGATGATGACGATGATGATGATGATTATGATGATGATGACGACGATAAGGATGTTGATGATACTGATGATGATGATGATGATGGTGATAGTGATGGTGATGGTGATGATGATGATGATGATGATGGTTATGATGATGATTATGATTATGATGATGGTGATGATTGTGATGGTGATGATGATGCTGCTGCTGATGATGATAATGACGATGATGATTATGATGATGAATATGATGATGATGATGATGATGATGTTGATGATGCTACTGATAATGATGTCTATGTTGATGATGATGATGATGATGATGATGATGATGATGATCATGATCATGATCCTGATGATGATGCTGATGATGATGCTGTTGCTGCTGTTGATGATGATGACGATGATGATGATGATGATGACGATGATGATGATGATGATGCTAATGCTGATGCTGATGCTGATGCTGATGATGATGATGATGATGATGATGAGGAGGAGGAGGAGGAGGAGGAGGAGGAGGATGAGCAGAAGGAGGAGGAGAAACACAGCGAAGAGGACAGCACGCAGCTGCCGCTGGCTCCCCCGCCTTGGCCGCCGCGGATTTCCCCGGGCCTGGCGCGTAGGCGGCAGCAGTGAAGCCTCGGCTGAGGGAGAGCTGCCAAGGCAAGCGGCCCCCGCTGAAGTACTGGGGCATAGTGCCGGTCGGGAGTGGGGGGCTCCCCTCTCCTCTTCCTGTTGACTCCCTCTCCACCGCTCTCCTCTCCCCCTCCCCTGCCCCTGCACTTGCCACCTTCCCTTTCCCATTCACCTACCACGTGGTCTTCTGGTGTCCCTGTTTTCAGTTGTTGATGGCATGAGCGCCCTGTTTTGCTCTCTGAGGCCCCCTGGCCGCTCTCTTTGTCGCTGTCGCTCGATCCAAGGGGAGGAGGGGGAGAACGGAGAAGGGATGAAGAGAACGAGTACGAGCTTGCGGGAGGAGTCTAGAGAGTTGGAGGAGGATGAGTGTGAGGAGGAATGGAGGAATGTAGGAGGAATAGAGCAGGAGGAGGAGGAGGAGGAGGAAGGTGAGGAGGAATGGAGGAGGAGGAGGAGGAGGAGGAGAGTGAGCAGGAGGAGGAGGAAGGTGAGGAGGAATGGAGTAGGAGGAGGAGGAGGAGGAGGAGGAGGAGGAGGAGGAGGAGGATGCGGAGGAGGAGCAGGAGGAGCAGGAGCAGGAGGGGGAGGAATGAATGGAGTAGGAGGAATGGAGTAGGAGGAGGAATGTGGTGAGTAGGATGGATACGGTTGGAGGGTGAGGATGGCGGAGAAGGGCCGAGCATCAGGAGCGGGAGGGAAGGCGAGTGGTGGAGAGTTGAGGAGGACGAGCGAAGAGGAGGGAGCATGAGAGGGAGTTGCCAGAGGAGAAGCATGAGGGGAGGAGGAGGAGGCGGAGGATGACGATGAGGAGGAGGAGGAGGTGCGGGAGATGTTGCTGATGATGCTGGTGCTGGTGCTGATGATGATGTTGACGAGGTTGATGCTGATGATGATGCTGGTACTGATAATGATGATGATGATGATGCTGCTGATGATGATGATGATGATGATGATGTTGAGGGTGATGATAATGATGATGACACATGACCATCATGATGATATTGGTGATGCTGATGCTGATGCTGCTGCTGATGATGCTGATGCTGCTGCTGATGCTGTTGCTGATGATGATGACGATGCTGATGATGTCGAGGAGGAATATGCTGATGATGAGGATGATGCGGATGAGGATGGGAATGATGATGCAGATGCTGTGGATGTTCATGGTGACTGTGATGATGTTGATTATGCTGATGATGATGTGGATGCTAATGATGATGATGCTGATGATGATGATGGTGGTGATGATGATGCTTATGATGATTCTGATGGGGTTGGTGATGCTGATGATGATCATGCTGCTCATGATTTTGATGCTGATGCTGCTGCTGATGATGATGCTGATGATGTCGAGGAGGAGGAGGCGGATGCTGATGATGAGGATGATGAGGATGAGGATGGTGATGATGATGCAGATGCTGTGGATGCTAATGTGGTGTTTCTACTGATGATGATGTGGACGCTAACGATGATGATGCTGATGCTGATGGTGTTGTTGATAATGATGATGATGACGATGACTATGATGCTGCTGATGCTGCTGATGATGACGATGGTAATGATGATAATGATGGTGGGGGTGATGATGATGATGATGATGATGATGCTGATGACGATGTTGATGATGATGATGATGATGATGATGATTATGATGATGATGATGATGATGATGATGCTGATGATGATGATGATGGTCTAGATGATGCTGATGTCACTGCTGATTTTGACCATGCTGCTGTTGATGATTATGATGATGATGAGTATGCTGATGATGCTGATGCTTGAACTGATGATGATGACGATGCTGGTGATGATGGTGATGATGGTGATGATGATGATGCTGAGTATGCTGATGATAATGATGGTGCCGTGATGATGCTGATGCCACTGATGATGATGCCGATGATGATGTTGATGACTATGCTGATGATACCTATGATGATTATGATGATGATGATGATGATGATGATGATGATGATGATGATGATGATGATGATGATGACGATGACTATGATGATGCTGATGATGTTCATGAACAGTACTATGATGATGCTGCTGTTGATGATTATGCTGATGATGCTGCTGATGATGATGCTGCTGCTGATGCTGATGATGATGGTGATGGTGATGGTGATGATGATGATGAGGAGGAGGAGGAGGATGAGGAGGAGGAGGAGGGGGCGGAGGAGGGGGAGGAGGAGAAGCAGGAGGAGGAGGAGGAGGAGGTGGAGGAGCAGGATCAGGAGGATGTAGACGTGACCGTATATGCACATACACATACATATGTGTGTACATACATCGTACATACATACATACATACATACATACATACATACATACATACATACTTACACACATACATACATACGTACGTACATACACGCATACATACTCGCAGGCATACGTGCATACATACACGCATACATACTCACATACATACATAGACACATACATCCATACATGCATACATACATACATACACAAATACATACATATATACATACCTACATACGTACATACATACATCCATGCACGCATACATACATACATACATACATACATACATACATACATACATACATACATACATACATACATGCATGCATGCATGCATGCATGCATGCATACATACGCATGCATACATGCATGCACGCATACATATATATATATATATACATATCGTCGGGATGCGGAGGATGATGATCTGGAGCGGGAGGAAGAGGATGGTGAAGAGGAGAGTGGATGAGGGGTGCGGGATGCGAGAGAAGGAGGGAAGGAGCCTCTGGAAGAAGACTCGCTGCTCACGGTGCCGTGTGAGATATTCCACATCGGCTTCGAGGGCCTGGGGCACATCAGCCAGCTGCTTAGGCGCGAGGGGCGGGGAGATGCTGGGAGGCTGGGAGCCGTCGGCGAGAACGGGCCTGGCACAATCACGGCAGTCATCGTTTTCGCTCCTGGCTGGCCGTGCTCCTCGTCCTGGCAGTGCTCCTCGTCCTGGCCGTGCTCCTCGTCCTCGTCTTCTTCCTCCTCCTGCCCTTCCCTCCTTGTTGTCCTTTTCGCTTTTCCCCTCCTTCCCCCTCCTCTCTCCTCACGCCTCCTGCCAGTTCTCATCATACGCTCCTCATCCTCCTCAAGCTCCGTTCTCACCGTGATCGTCGACGTCGCCGTCTCCCTCTTACACCCCGTCCCCCTCTGCTCTTCTTCTTCTTCTCCTTGTTATCCTCCTTCCCCTCCTTTCCCTCCTCCTTCCCCGCTACGTCTTCTGCTTTCGTCGTAGTCGTCGTGGTCGTGATCGTCGTGCTGGCACGACATGTGAGTTTTGGTTTCTACCGGTGCATATGTTTCCTCCAGGCGTGAGGCAGTACCAACATGACAGCGAACTGGGCACGACCCCACTAAGGGGAACACTTCCCAAGCGGCTTTGCTTGGCATTGCTTGGCTTTACATTGCTTTGCATTGTTTGGGGTTGCTTGGTATTGCTTTTCTTTGCTCGGCACTGCTTGGCACTTCTTGCATTGCTTGGCAATGCTTGGCAATGCTTGGCAATGCTTGGCATCGCTTGGCATAGCGTTGCGTTGGTTTGCATTGCTTTGCATTGCTTGGCATTGATTGGCATTATTTGCACGGTTTGGCATTGCTTTACATTGCTTGGCATTGCTTGGCATTGCTTGGCATTGTTTGGCATGGCTTGGCGTTGCTTGGCTTTGCTTCGCATTGCTTGGTGTCGCGTCGCTTTGCTTCGCATCGGTTTGCACTGTTTTGCATTGCCTGGCATCGTCTGGCTTCACTTGGGATGCCTCTGCGCTGCTAGTGATTGCTTTTCATTGCTTTGCATTGTTTGGCCTCGCCTGGCATTGCCTTGCATTTCTTTGCATTGCTTGGCATTGCGAGGCATTGCTTCAAAGTATATTTTTACCCTACATAGGGCTTGCCGCTGTGCCGTCGACTCCCTCATCTGACGTTCCAGCGGTTTCATAACGACGCATGTGTGGACCGTTGTGGTATTGCGCTGGCCTTACGGCCTGTGCCGCCGACCCTGGAGGCATCGGCTCTCGAGGGAAACCGGGGGGAGAGGGCGGGGAGGAGGAGACGGAGGAGTGAAGGAGGAGGAACAGGTGGGAGGAGGAGCAAGAGGAGCATGAATATGCGGAGGAGAAATGGAAAAGGTAGAGAAGGGGGAGCAGGAGTTAATGGATGGAGCAGGCAGGGACGACGAACACGTGGGGGAGGACCAGTGAAAGCTGTCAGAGAGGGGTGACCGAAAACTCCCAGGAGGGCGACGTATCTGACCCAGGACCCCCCTCGCTACCCCCCTCGCTATCCCGCCTCGCTACCCCCTCCCGGGACCCCCCCCCCTCGCGCGGGGAAGGGAAGAAAGGGAAGGGGTTTCGAATCCGGGAGGGCGATGTATCTGACCGAGAATCCCCAGGAGGGCGGCGTATCTGACCCAGGACCCCCCTCGCTACCCCCCCTGGCTACCCCCCCTCGCTACCCTCCCCGGGACCCCGCCCCCCCCCGCGCGGGGAAGGGAAGAAAGGGAAGGGGGTTCCCTCTGACCGAGGATCCCCAGGAGGGCGGCGTATCTGACCCAGGACCCCCCTCGCTACTCCCCCTCGCTACCCCCCTCGGACCCCCCCCCCCCCCGCGCGGGAAAGGTAAGAATGGGAAGGGGCTTCCCTGTGATTCAGAGACGACGAGGAAAAGGAACGGGACCCCTCCCCTTCCTCGCGCGGGGAAGGGAAGAAAGGGAAGGGGCTTCCCTTTGATTCAGAGACGACGAGGAAAAGGAAAGGGCCAAAAACGACGACGCTGCAGGGAAACGGGACAAAGGAGCGACGAGGAAGAAGCAGCAAACAACAAAGCCTCTTCCACACGCCGACAGGGTCGGCGGATTCTTTGTCAGTCCCCTGCTGCCTTCGGGCAACCTGGGGCAACCTCACGGCTGTTTGTCGGCGGCGAGCGAGGGGGGGAAGCGAGAAGGAGAAGGCCTTCTCAGAAGTCTCGGAAATCCCCTGGCCTTGTTAGAAGTTGTCTAAGCCTTTCCCGAAGACAAGCAGTTCTCACAATGCGCGAGGGATTCTGAGAAGTCCCGCTTTCTTCTGAGAAGGCTTCCTCCTTCTCACTTCCCCCTTCTCGCTGGCCGCCGAGTTTGGACACAGCGCTTGAACTCAGCTCAGTCCGTGCCGTGTTATCCTGATCGGAGAAGGAAAAGCGCCATACACAAACGTTTGGCGCTCCAGGCGGATTTCTTGGATCCGCGCAGGGCCCCCCTGGCGGCGCCGCCGGCGCCGCCCCTGGCGCGCTCCGCGAGCCAGGGAGGGCGGTCCAGCGCAGATCCGAGAAATCCGCGCGGACCTCCGAGTTTTTATGTTTATGCCACTTTTTTGTTCCCCTATTCCAGCGCAGATCCAAGAAATCCGCGCGGAGCGCCAAACGTTGATGTTTATGGCGCTTTGTTTGTCTTCTTCTACTTGAGGCGTCTTGGGTGCATCTAAGCAGGATTGCAGGCTCGCTGGAGGCCGCGCTGGGCGGCTCGGGAGAGGCCCCGGGTGGCCACGCGAGGCCTTGGGAGGCGGCGGAACGTTCCAGAGAGGCTCTGTGTGTGTTGCGGAGGTTGTGGGGAGGCTTTGTGGAGCTCGTGGGGAGAAGAACACACTGTGGGGGCAAACAACAAACACACACACACACACAAAAACGCACACACTGTGGAAAAAACAAACACACACACGCAAACAAACACTGTGGGTAAAAGCGCACACACACAATCACACAGTCACACGATCACACAATCACACAATCACACAATCACACAATCACACAATCACACAATCACACAATCACACAATCACACAATCACACAATCACACAATCACGCAATCACGCAATCACACAATCACACAATCACACAATCACACAATCACACAATCACACAATCACGCAATCACACAATCACAAAATCACACAATCACACAATCACACAATCACACAATCACAGAATCACACAATCACACAATCACACAATCACACAATCACAAAATCACCATATCAACAATCATAAATCACACATCACACAACACAAAGCACACAATCCACACAAACACAATCACACAATCCCCACAATCACACAATCACACCACAATCACACCACCCAATCCCACAATCACAACGATCGCACAATCAACACCCACGAAACACACACCACACACCCACAACCCATACACCCACCACCCACACACCACACACCAACACCAACACCACACACCACACAACACAACCACACACCACACCCCCACACCCCCACACCCCCACTCCCCCACACCCACCCACCCCACACCCCCACACCCCCACACCCCACCCTCACACCCCCCACCAACACCCACCACCCACCACCCACACCCCACCACACCCACACACGCGCACACGCGCACACCCGCACACCCGACACCAACACACCCACACACCCACACACACCAAAACCCCCCCAAAACCACCCACACACCCCCACACCACACACACACACCCACACCCACACACCCACACACCCACACCACCCACACACACACCCACACCCCACACCCCCACACCACACCCCACACCCAGCACCCTCGCCCCACGCACCCACGCTCACCACACGCACACCACACGCACACCCACACGCACACCCACGACAACCCACACACACACACCACACTCACACACACCCCCACACAGACACACACCACACACACCCACAACACCACACACACACCCACACCACCCACACACACCACCCCCCACCACACCACACACCCACACCCAACACGCGCACACCGCACATCCACACAACCACGCACCCACACCACACTCACACAACCCCACACCCACACACCCACACCCCACACACCCAACGCCAACCCCCTACCCCCAACCACACCCCCACACCCCCGCACCCCCGCACCCACGCACCCACGCACCCACGCACCCACGCACCCACGCACACACACACACACACACACGCACACACATAAACACAAACACAAACACAAACACAACACAACACAATACAACACACCACATCACAATACACAACCCACAACCCACAATACACAACACGCAACACACAACCCACAACACACAACACTCAACACACAACACACAACACACAACACACAACACACAACACACAACACACACCACACTGTGGGACAAACAACAAAACAAACAAACATCAAAACACTGATGCCTAGGAAAATCCTGGGAGGCCTTGGGAGTCGTCGCGAGGCCGTGAAAGGTTCTGTAGTCAGTGGGACGTCGTTGCCAGCGGGAATGCGAGGCGAATGTGCGTGTATCGGGGTATATCTGGGGCGGTATTTACGCCTTTATCGTCCCGCCCGTAGCCTTTCTGATAACGAGGCTAGCCACCCTAGTCGCCGCATCCTCCCCCTCCTAACAATATCGCACATACGTAGCACCCCGCACTTGCGGATACCAGTGGGGCGGGCGCGGGGTGGGTCGCGGAGTGGGTCGCGGGGTGGGTCTCGGGTGGGTCGCGGGTGGGTCGCCGCGCGGTGGGTCGCGGGCGGGTCGCGGGCGAGGACGACGAACATAGCAGCAACAAACAACAACAAACACAGCAACAAACAACAAGCAGAATCCGAGCAGCGGAACCACGCTTCAGCCGCGCACCCAAGGACAGTGCATGACCGCCCACCCCCCTCACTCTGATAATGGCCTTCGGCCCATCCCGCCACGCCCAGGTTGTAGGTCGGAGGCCTTGCGGATGCCTGTGGGGATGTCTTGCGAGGCCCATCCTTCTTCCTCCTCCTCCTCCTCCTCCGCCTCCTCCTCCTCCTCCTCCTCCCTCTCCCCCTCCCCCTCCCCCTCCCCCTTCCCTCCCTCCGCCTCTGCCCCTGTTGGCGGCGGTCCTCGGGGGTGCCCTGGGTCCCCTCGGGGGGGGCCTCTTGGGGGCTTCCCGGGGGCCCAATTCTGGCCTCGTCGGCGCTGCCCGGGGCTTCGGGGGGGGGCTCCTTGGCGGCCTGCCCACGGTCTCGGAGGTCATTCTGGGACGGAGGAGCCACAGCTCAGGTCGAGCTCCATTTTTGGGGGGCGAGGAGGAGGAGGAGGAGGAGGAGGAGGAGGAGGAGGAGGAGGAGGAGGAGGAGGAGGAGGAGGAGGAGGAGGAGGAGGAGGAGAGGAGGAGGAGGAGGAGGAGGAGGAGGAGGAGGAGGAGGAGGAGGAGGAGGAGGAGGAGGGAGGAGGAGGAGGAGGAGGAGGAGGAGAGGAGGAGGAGGAGGAGGAGGAGGTGGAAGGAGGAGGAGGAGGAGGAGGAGGAGGAGGAGGAGGAGGAGGAGGAGGAGGAGGAGGAGGAGGAGGAGGAGGAGGAGGAGGAGGAGGAGGAGGAGGAGGAGGAGGAGGAGGAGGAGGAGGAGAGGAGAGGAGGAGGAGGAGGAGGAGGAGGAGGAGGAGGAGGAGAGAGGAGGAGGGAGGAGGAGGGAGGAGGAGGAGGAGGAGGAGGAGGAGGAGGAGAAGGGGGGGGTGGAGGAGGAGGGGGGAGGAGGAGGAGGAGGGGGGGGTGGAGGAGGAGGGGGAGGAGGAGGAGGAGGGGAGGCGGAGGAGGAGGAGGAGGAGGAGAGGAGGAGGGGGGAGGAGGAGGAGGAGGAGGAGGAGGAGGAGGGGGCCTGTTGGGTCCCTCTTGGGCCGGCTCTTGGTGCCTCTTTGGCTGCCTGGGGACCATTTTGGGCGGCTGTGTTAAAGGGCATCTCGGGGGCCGCTTGGGCCGTCTCGTCGCGATTTTGGAGCGTTCGAAACCCCGAAAAGGCAAGAACGCTGGCATCCTTCAGCGGCCGCGAGAAAATACAGAATCTTGGCCTTTCGGGACCCTCTTGGGGTGCCTTTTGGATCCCTCTTGGGGAGTCTTGGGCCGCGCGGCTGTCTTAAGGGCCTCTCGGGGCCCTCTTGGCCCGTCTTGGGGCCCTCTTGGCTCCGACGGCAACGCGAGAACAGCCAGGAACACGCGGAGAGCAAAAGCCACAGGGGTGTCGCTGCAGAGCTTCGTTCCTACTGGTCGAGGACGCAGCCATGTTTGGAAGCGAGGGTGCGCTCCGACACCACGTTCGCACGAGCGCTCCAGTAGCCCACGGCGTGCGCTCGGTCACTGCCATTTTGCAGAGCGCTCGCGCTGGCGCCGTCGCCGTCGCCGCCGTGTCGCCTTGGCCGGCGCCGTCGCCGTCGCCGTCGCCGCGGGACTCTTTGGCCGTCTCTGCGCCCTTGTGACGGCCTCGTAGATTGTCTCGGGAAGAGCTTTAGGGCATCTTGGGCCGAGAAGCCGAACAGGCAGAAACGCTGAAATCAGTGAACAACCCAAGGACATCCTATTAGGTTTCCCTCTTGGGGCCCTCTTGGAAGTGGTCATGGAGACCTCGTGGGGCGTCTCGGAGGCGTCTTGGGCCGTTTGGAGGCCATTTTGGACGACTTGGAGCGATCTTTTGGAGGACTCTGGGCCCTCTTGGGCCCCTCTTGGATTGTCTTGGGCCTGCCTTGCCGAAGGAGGGCCAAATCCGCTCGACGGCGAATTCTCCCAACAAGGAATGCGGACTCCTCCGTAGCCATTTTGGCTCAAGGCTCGAACCCTTGGGCGTGCGCATGCGCCCGGGTGCAGCTCTGATGGCCGAGGCCGGGGCAGATGTTGAGCGGTCGCCCGCGGGCGAGGCCTGCGCGGAGGCCCCGGGCTGGCGGGGGTCCCGCGGGAGCGCGCGGGGCGAGCAGCCGGCGGCGCCCGCGGGCTCCGCGGAGATCTTGTCGGCCCTGGCGGAGCTCAAGGCAGACCTGCGCGCCGGGTTCGATCAGCTCCGCGAGGAGCTGAGCCCGGACGGCGGGCGACCGGAGCTCAAGACGTCGAGCAGGCCGACCGTTCAGAGCTACGCCCAGACCGCCACCGACAGCTGGCCCTTGAAGAGCTCGAGGCAGGCGCTTCACCAGAGCGCCGCCCGGTCCAGCAGGCCCGACGATGAGATCCCGAGCCCGCAGCTGTCGCTGTCGAAAGGCCCCAGGCACGGGGCGGAGTCCGGCACTTCGTCGGAGATGGTCATGGTCCACGCGGATGACAACGTAAACGACATGACGTTGAACGGGAAGGGCGGCGGCGCGGGGCGCAGGGGCTCCATCAAGGAGAGGCACCCCGAGCTCGCCAGCCGGGCGCTCGCCAGGCTGGGGATACTGAGCAGCGACAGCCAGCGCAGCCTCTCGACGGACAAGCGCGCCGTGATCCGCACCTTCGCCCACCACCTGGTTGTTACTCACGGCAAGTTCTTCGACATCTTCATCGGCGTGGTCATCATAGTGAACACCGTTTGCATCGGTGTGGAGATGCAGCTGATGCTCGACCAGAACCCGTCCGTGCAGGTGCTGCACGACATGGAGCACGCCTTCCTCGCGTGCTTCGTGGTCGAGGTGCTGCTCCGCGTCCTGGCCCTCGGGATTAGCAAGGTCGTCCAGAGCAGGTGGTTCATGTTCGACCTCGTCATTGTCTCCACCGGGGTGACATCCACCTGGATCGTCGAGCCCATCGTGGCCCGGAACGCCGTCGACTCTGGCGCCGTGGAGCTCATGAACCAGGTCATGATCATCCGGTTCCTGCGGCTACTGCGGATCGTACGCGCGCTGAGACTTGTCGAGATTTTCAAGGACCTCTGGACCATCTGCCGCGGCCTGGTGCAGGCCGCGCGCTGCGTGACCTCCGCCTGCGCGCTCATCATCGTCGTGGTGTACGTCATGGGCTGCCTGGCGGTGGAGGTCATCACGCTCTCCGAGGTGCTGCTAGCCAACGCCGAGTCCGCCGCCATCGTCCACAGGCACTTTGACACACTTCCAGTCGCCATGATGACCATCTTTCAGTTTTGCGAGAGTGATTATGTTGCTGCTATATACGCGCCGCTCGTCCACGTGCAACCATCTTTGGCAATATTCTTTATCATTGTCTGGCTGGTCCTGAGCGTGCTGATCATGAACTTGGTGACGGCCGTCATCGTGCAGAGCGCGATCGGCCAGCACGAGGAGGACACGGAGATGCATAGGCTGGAGGTGCGGAAGCAGCTGTGGAAGCTCACGCCATCGATCGAGAAGATGTTCAGCGATCTGGACAAAGACGAGGACAACGCGATTCTCAGAGAGGACCTGATGAACATGGACCTGGCGTCCTTCAGGATCCCGAGCGACTTGTCGCCCATCGTGAAGGCCGACCAGTTGATGGAGCTCTTTGACTTCTTCGACATGGACCGTAGCGGCAAGGTCGAGCAGGAAGAGTTCGTGGAGGGCGTCTTTCACCTGGCGCTATCCAACGTCCCCGCTGAGACCACGCAGACCTTGCATATCCTTCGCATGATTCAGAGGCGCCTGTGCTTCATGGAGAACTCGATTGAGACCCTCATCCAAGACAGGAGCACGGACAACACCTGCATGCAGGCCGACGACCCCGCTTACTGAGAGACCCGGCGCGCCCTCGGAGTGAGCGAGAAGGCCAGGGCATCGGCGTGCATTCGCCCCGAAGTGGCCAGCACCCGACTTGCATGATCGGCGGCCTCATGAGTTTGCAGCATCCCGGAGAGGGAACGCGATGGAATCATTGCCTGCCGCCGCGAATGACCCACTTCGGTTTGATTGACACTGCTTCACTCTTTGCCGTGGCGCGTTTACAACTTGTCGCCGTGGCTTCTCCCGATACTGCTATCTGAAGGCACCTAGGTCATGAGTCTTTACGCCATTACCTTGAGCATCAGCTTGAGACTCTGGCTGAATGAGTTTTTTTTTTGTTCGCGCGCTCGCAGCGTTGACACTGCTGTTATTCTTCTCTCGACTCCTCTGATGGCTGCGTCCGTCTCCTCTTCCTCCCGACTACGCCCCACCGCCTGCAGCTAGAGATGATTAAAGTTTGCTCCATCGCAAGCATCACCCGATTGCATTGCGCGTGGCTTGTGACTGTCGTGGGCACGGTGCCCGATGCCCGAAACGTGGGACGCCCCTCACTCTGTTTTGTCGGCATGTTCCTGACGTAATTCGGTCAGACTGCAGTGCTGTTTGGTTCCAGTGGGGCTGTCAGACGCGCGCTCCAAAAAAAAAAAAACAAGGAATGCGGACTCCGCCCTGGGACGCCCCCGGGACCCTTCTCGGGACATCCCATGGCCCTCCTGATGACCTCCCTCATGACCCCCCCAGCCGGGATGGGAAGGGATCAAAGGGAAGGGGCATCTCTTTGACTCAATTACGAATTCAGGACCTGACTCGATTCACCGCGAATTGGCGAGCTCGGCGCGCAGTCTCCACAAATAGAAGGAAGAGCACATCGAATGAAAATCGTGTCTGAGGACGACCCAGGGACGATACACCCCCCTTCACACACGGTATGTTTGCTGGGGGATGTTGCCAAGGATTGAGACGAACAGTGGAGGTAAATCATGAGAGAGACAGGGAGAGGGATAAGGAGAGAGAGAGAGAGCGAGAGAGAGACACATATATGTGTATATAGATAGAGAAATATAGAGAGACATCTATATGTATATGTATGTATGTATGTGTATATATATATATATAGAGATGTCGGAGGTGAGGGGGTGAGCTCGAAGTGGAACGGAGAGCCCCCCCACCGGGATATCGGTTTCGGTTTCGTGTTCGTGCGTGCCGTGTGGGCGAGGCGAAGCTGCGTGGGCGGGCGAGAGAAAGTCTCCTGAGGCTGAGGCGCGGCCGGAGCAAAAGAACCTTGACCGGGCGGCCGGTGCCCCGCGGTGTCCCGCCGGTGTCCCGCTCGGGGGCCGGTGGCGCGCGGTGTCCCGCCGGTGTCGCGCCGGTGTCCCGTCGGTGTCCCGATGATGATAATGATGATGATGATGATGATGATGATGATGATGATGATGATGATGATGATGATGATGATGATGATGATGATGATGATAATGATGATGATGATGATGATACTGATGCTGATGCTGATGCTGATGCTGATGCTGATGATGATGATGCTTATGATGATGATGATGATGATGATGATGTTGATGATGTTGACGATGATGATGATGATGCTGATGATGAATATGATAATGATGCTTATGATGATGATGATGATGATGATGTTGATGATGATGATGATGATGATGTTGATGATGATGATGATGGTTATGGTGATGGTGATGGTGGTGATAATGATGGTGCCCCAATGATGATGATGACGATGTTGATGACGATGATGATGATGATGATGATGATGATGATGATGATGGTGATGGTGATGGTGGTGATGATGATGGTGCCCCGATGATGATGATGTTGATGGTGATGTTGCTGCTGATGATAATGGTGCCCCGATGATGATGATGACGATGATGGTGTCCCGATGATGATGAAGATGATGCTGATGATGATGAGGATGATGATGATGATGGTGATGATGATGATGATAATGTTGATGATGATGGTGATGAGGTGATGATGGTGATGAGGTGATCATGATGATGATGGTTTCCCGATGATGCTGATGATGATGTTGATGACGCTGGTGACGATGATGTTGATGATGATGATGACGTTGATTGTGATATCGATTGTGATATCGATAGTGGGATCGATAGTTAGACCGAATGTGAGATTGATTGTGAGATCGATAGTGAGATCGATAGTGATATCGATTGTGAGATCGATAGTCAGATCGATTGTGAGAGCGATCGACTGAAATAGATCGAGTGATATCGATGGTGAGATCGATCGAGTGGGATCGATCGAGCGACACCGATAGTGAGATCGATAGTGAGATCGATAGTGAGACCGATCGAGTGAGACGTTGGTTCCTCCCCCCCGAACCTCCTTATCACCCGAAGGGTGGTCGTATAGGTATTTTTTCCCCACATCCTGAGTGGGGTTCTCGTTTTCCCAGAACATCCTCTCCTTCTCCCTCCCGCCTCCCGCCTCCCATATCAATACCATGCCTACCATTCCAGCCTCCCATATCATACCATGCCTACCATTCCATACCATACCATACCTACCATACCATACCATACCCTCCAGG